TGAATTGTGCTATATAAATAAATTTGCCTTGCCTTATTAGATTCAGGTTGATAATTGTGTACAAATCTTTTTTGAATCGGCTTTGTGAAGAAAATAAATGCAATGGACATATATAAAGACATAGATTTATCTCATTTAATAAAACTATTTAGGAAATCAAATAGATTAAAAAAAAATCATAGGAGTAAATCACAGTAATTGAATTCAAGTACTTTATTAAGCCCAGTAGCCCACGCTTCAATATAGGTAAACTAAGGTTCATTTACTGGAATGTGACTGGAACTGGCACCAGGGAAAAAAGGGTAAACATTTTTTAACCTGCTCTCAAGAATACAGGTAGATATTGTCTTATGACAAGAGACTCATAATCAGTTGAAATAGCAAATGATTTTAAATCCCCTGAATTCCATCTTGTTCTCTGCCTGCTATAACTCCGAGCAAAGAGAAGTAGCTATCCTAATTCACAAAAATATAAAATTCACAGTATTAGACCCATGTAGATCCAGATACTTAGACTCAACTTCATTTGAGATCACTACTTCAGGGAAATTCTGGTTCTAGTAGCTTATGTGGAGTACAAAAAGTTAAAGCAAGATGCCATTAAAGATTAAAAAGATATGACAGACACTATAAAAAAGAGTGTATATAGTAGCAAAAAAAAACATTTAAAAAAAAGAAAAATTAAATTAAACAGACTGTCATGTTCTTGGCGCTGATGGTTCGTTTTTTCATTTACTCTTGTTCACCTTTCTGATTTGTCCAGCGGCTGATTAGCGCCAATCATTTCCGCCTGGTTCCTCAGCAATGTATTATGTTGGCTTGCTTAACATTAGTGCCAGGTTGTTTGAGCAGTTTGGTGAGATTAACTCCAGCGATCTGAATCTTGTTCTGTTTTCGTGTTTGTGACCAGTTTCTGCCCTGGTTTTTGTTTCGCCCCTGCCTGCTCAGTTAGTTTAATCTGTTCTGGAATGATCCCTGGATACTACTGGCTTCTGAACTGGGACATGTCCTCTGACTCTCCCTCAAG